GAAACTCCGTCTCAAAAAAAAAAAAAAAAAAAAAGGGCATAGCAGTTTGGACTTGCCCTCCTGCTAATAGCATTTGCTGCTTCTCACTCACGCTTTATTGTGCATGGAGAACTCTGCACACATACATAGGAAAGTCCAATTTTTCCTGATTCATCTCTGTAACCAAGATAGCCTCAGACACTTAAGAAATATGGACAACACTATCAATGCCCAGAGAGAAATTCTGTATGGCTAAAAGGGTAGCTAGCTACCCCAGCCCAGATATGTTTCTTCCTAAGAGGAAGGGCACTGATGCAGAAAACTGTAACATGCTGTAGTGACCAGACGGATGGTCACTCCTGCACCTGCTGTGGAGGAGGAGGGTGGGATGTTGCAGTGTGCCAAGCTCTGCCAATCTTGGTTCAAGTCTAGTCATTGCCACTAACCTGTATGACCTTGAACAAGCCATTTTTCCTCTCTGCTCCTGAGTCTCCACATCTGTTCACTGAGAGGTGAGACTGGATGGTTCCCGAAGTCTGAGTGCTGACATCCTGTGGGCTTGTGGGACTGAGTAAGACTGCTGTGAGCTCTGGCGTGGCTGGTCTGATGGTACCCAAGTTTCTCTCCTTTCTTCTTGGTGCTGAAGGAGATGACACACTGAGACATGCTTTTGTTCTGAACCCCGGCCGGGTCTCACAGATTGAGTTGAGTCCTGGCCCTGCCGTAGGTTAGCAGTGTGAACTTGGGCAAGTCACTTAACCTCTATGAGACTCTGTTTTCTTTTCAGAAAAATAGATAATGAGTCAATGTTATATGTAAATTTTTGGTGCTGCAAAGAAAAATTAGCACGGGGACAAAGGGTTTCTTAGCAAAGCAATTTCTCTTACTTCCTGCAGAAAGGATACCCTCATTAGCAATCTAGCCATGAGGGTACAATGAACAAAGGAAAGCAGACATATTTATTCCTTACACATTCGGGGTTGTCCTTACTGCTATGTCTGATCTCTATTGGCTGGAGCCAGATCTCATAATTTAAACTAAAACCTGATTGCCTAGCAACTTAAACCTTTCTAAACAGGTAAAAGCAATGGAAAACAAAAAGGAAGTTCAAGTAAGGAAGAGGCATAGGCTGCAAGCTGGGACATGCCTGTGAGCATGTCCAGCACAGATACCTTGGTTAAACTACAAGGACACAGAATGTACTATGTGCCTGTAGGCATCTCTTAACAGCTACATAGGATAGGACTTAACAATGAACTACTAGCAAAAAAGCAAGAAGGATTTGAAGAAAGTATTTAAAACAAACTATTTACAATATTTACAATATTTAAACTATTTACTGTTTACAATAGCAAAGACCTAGAACCAACCCAAATGCCCATCGATGATAGACTGGACAGGGAAAATGTGGCACATATACACCATGGAATATTATGCAGCCATCAAAAACGATGAGTTCGTATCCTTTGTAGGGACATAGTTGAACCTGGAAACCATCATTCTCAGCAAACTGACACAAGAACAGAAAATCAAACACCGCATGTTCTCACTCATAGGCGGGTGATGAACAATGAGAACACATGGACACAGGGAGGGGAGCATCACAAACTGGGGTCTGTTGGGGGGAAATGGGAGAGGGACAGCCGGGGGTGGGGAGTTGGGGAGAAATAGCACAGGGAGAAATGCCAGATATAGGTGAAGGGGAGGAAGGCAGCAAATCACGCTGCCACGTGTGTACCTATGCAACAATCTTGCATGTTCTTCACATGTACCCCAAAACCTAAAATGCAATTTAAAAAAAAAATTATTTTTAACACTTATTAATTTTTTTTTAAACAAGTAAGGAAATTTCAAAGAGGAACTTTTCTACTTCGCACAGTCAACGTCCTCTAGCCCAAGAAAAATGGAGGGATAGAAACAAACGTTAGAGGCCAGGTGCAGTGGCTCACGTCTGTCATTCTAACACTTTGGAGGCTGAGGTGGGCAGATCGCTTGAGCCCAAGGAGTTCAAGACCAGCCTGAGAAACATGGTAAAACACCATCTCTACAAAACATACAAAACTTAGCTGGGTGTGGTGGTGGGTGCCTGTAGTCCTAGCTACTCAGAACGCTGAGGGGGAAGGACCACCTGAGCCCAGGAAGTCCAGGCTGCTGTGAGCTACGATTGTGCCACAGCACTGCAGTCTGAGTGACAGAATGAGGTCCAGTCTCGAATAAATGAATCAATAAATATTGAAATAAGAAATGTAAGAATTTTGGGGTTCGCACAGATGTATGTGTGTGCACAAAGGCCCAGCTCCCACATACATGAAAACATCTGTACACAGACCCATATTCACAATACCCCGACACGCCACACCCTGTGCAAGATTCATGCTCCATACACAAGAATGCTCACATGGATTCCCACTCTGCTGCATGTCCACAACATACATGAGCCCACAGGCTCACGTGCAAACAGGCCTTCAGTGTCTTTTCTGTACACCTTAGGGAGAACCCCTCCTTCCATGGCCCGGCTGGGTCACCCAGAAGGCTCAGGGCTCCTGGGGGAGGGGGTTGTGGGCCCTGGGCTGGCTGAGCTACCGGCTCCACCAGGATTGATGAACACTCAGACCAGGGATGAAGTTGGGGTCCCAGGCTGGGTGGGGTCAGACCTCCAGCTGCTGGATCTGCCTCTGTGCCTCGGCCAGCTGCAGCTCAGCCCCCGCGAGGGTGCAGTCCAGGCGGCCCTTCTCTGCGCTCAGCTGCACTGTGTCTTCATGGCTGCGAAGCTTCTCCCGCTCCCCCTTGTCCAGCGTCCTCCTGAGGGCTACCTGGTCCTTCTCCAGCCGCAGGGCTGAGCTCTCCACCTCCCGCTTCTCGGCTTCCAGCTGAGCCAGGGCGCTCCTGCCGCAGCCGCCGCTCGTCCTGCAGCCTCTGGACCGTGCGCAGGGCTGCAGCCTCGCCCTCCTGCCGCCGCCGCCGCACCTCCCGTAGTGTGGTAGCTGGCCCTCCGCCGCCACCTGCTGCAGCTCCAGGTCAGCCACCTCGCCTCGCCACGTCTGCACCTGCTCACCCAGGGAGCTGCTCTGCCTCCGCGCCTCAGACAACGCCTGCCGGGCGGCGTCCAGCCGTTCCTGGAGCGCTTGGCGGTCATGTTCCCAGGCGGCCAGAGCCTTCTGTAGACGCAGGTTCTTGTCCTGGTGCTGTTGAGGCTGGCGCTGCTCTGGGCCTGGGCCTCTGTCAGGCCCCGCACCTTGTCCCGCAGGGCCCCCTCGCTTTCCTCCACCTTGGCCAGGGCCCCATTCAGCCGCGCCACGGTCAGCTGCAGGGTCCCTGCTTTCACCTCGCTGTCTGCCACCTGTCCCTGCAGGGAGTCCACCCGATCCTGAAGAACCTGGGCCTGGGCCTCGCGGTCGCTCAGGCCCAGGCGGCCGCTTGCAGTTCCCCCTCAAGCGAGCGCCGCTGCAGCTCCAGATCGAAGGTGCGGCTCTCAGAGGCGTCCAGGACCTCCTTCAGGCGCCGCTTGTCGCCCTCCAGCTTCGTTTCATTGGCCTTCATCTTGCTGATCGTCTCATGGCTGGCCGGGAGCTCGCTCTCAGTGGCCTGCAGGCTCCTCTCCAGTGTGGCCACCTGGTCCAGCGTGGCCCGGCGCTCCCGCTCACTGCGCCGCACACTCTCCTTCTGCAGCGCCAGCTCTGCGGGGACCCCGCTCAGCCGCCCATCCGCACTGCGCCGGGCTTGCTCACTCTCAGCCACCGCCTTCTGCAGCTGCCTGGCCCTCCACGTTGCGCTGTCCCTCTCAGCCTCCATCTCGGCCAGCGGGCGATTCAGGGCACTGGTCTGGGTCCGAAGTTTGTCCCGTTCTCTCTGGGTGCTCCGAAGCTCCTGCAGGAATTCCCGGAGGGCCCCGCGCGCTGCCACTGGGTCCAGGTCTGGAGGAGCTGGGGAGGTAGTAGGTCCTGGAGATGGTGGCTGGGACCCAGGGCTGCATTCTAAGGTGCTGGGGCTGCCGAGCCCTTCCCTGCTTCCTTCAGCGGGCGCATCCCGAGCAGGGGAGCCGGGCACCTGCTGCGGGGCTGGGCTGGGCGCGCGACCAAGGCCAAGGCCCCGGTGCAGAGCCGAGCGCAGGCCGCCCAGCTGGACCTCCGCCGCGCACCGCTGCGCCTCCACGCGGGCCGGCTCGGCCTCCAGGACCTTGTGTCCGGCCCTCGGCCGCGCTCAGCCGCAGGCCCAGCTCTGCAGCCACGGCCCGCGCCGCCTCCAGCTTCAGCTCCAGGCCGTGGGCGAGGTGCAGCTGCTGCTTTTCAGGGGCGCGTGCCTCCTCCAGGGAGCCCAGCAGGCCTCATTCGCGGGTCCGGAACTCGCCTTCTTGTTCCTGCAGCTTCTGCTGGGCTCCCTGGAGCTGGAGTGATCAAGAATTTTTTACTGGCTGGGCGCGGTGGCTCACGCCTGTAATCCCAACACTTAGTGAGGCCAAGGTGGGCAGATCACGAGGTCTGGAGATGGCCACCATCTTGGCTAACACGGTGAAACCCTGTCTTTACTGAAAATACAAAAAACAAACAAACAAAAAATTAGCCAGGCATAGTGGCATGCACCTGTAGTCCCAGCTACTTGGGAGGCTGAGGCAGGAGAATCACTTGAACCCAGGAGGCGGAGGTTGCAGCGAGCCAAGATCGCGCCACTGAACTCCAGCCTGAGCGACAGAGCAAGACTCTGTCTCACAAAAAGAAAAAGAAAGAGAGAGAGAGAGAGAGAGAGAGAAAGGAAGGAAGGAAAGAAGAAAGAAAGGAAAGAAAGAAAGAAAAGAAGAAAGAAAGAAAGAGAAAGAAACAAAAGAAAGAAAGAAAGAGAAAGAGAGAGAGAAGGAAGAAAGGAAAGAAAGAAGGAAGGGAAAGGAAGGGGGAAGGGGGAAGGGAAGAAGGAAGGGAAAGAAAGGAAAGAAAAAGAAAGAAAGAAAGAGAAAGAGTTTCCTATTCTATCAGTAGAATATTCGTTTATTAGGTCTAGAAAAAACTGTGTCTTATTTATGTCGTCTATGATTTATAGTTATCTCTCCAGCACTCAGACTAGAAATTGCTTGGTAAATACTTGCTGAATGAATGCCTAGTGACTATAAATGCCCTGGTATCCAGAGAGGGATCCGAAATCTCTATGTAAAAAAAAAAGAAGAGGGCTTACTGGGAAGAGAGCCGAAGATCCGTCACCTTTCAAGTAGGGTTTTGGCCTAGGTAACCGGGCAGAGATGTGGTTCGAGATACTCCCTGGACTCGCCGCCATGGGCGTGTGCTTGCTTATTCCAGGAGTGTCTACCGCGTACACCCAGAAGTTCACTAACGGCGGCAAGGAAAAAAGGATTGCTCATGTTTTGTATCCATGGAATTTGATGGAAAGAGATAGGCGCATCTCTGGAGTTGATCTTTACTATAAGTCAAAGGGTTTGGAGAACATTGATTAAAGAAGCATTTTCCTGATTGATGAAAAAATAACTCAGTTATGGTCATCTACCCCTGCTAGAAGATTATACAGTATATTATGTAGCATGCAGTGTGTTATGTAGTGCTTAATAAAAATAAAATGAAATTAAAAAAAAAGAAGAGAAATTTTTAAAGAAACAAAAAATTAGAGGGAACTGGCTTCCAGTAAGTATGAAATTATGACTATCAGGCTAATTCAGCTCTTTTGCTAGAAAAGAAAAGTTAGAATAGAAAAACATTTTTGACAAATACATTCAAAGCTAGTGAAATTATCCTGTTTTAGATAATAGCTTGGCCTTTGACAGTTTTATCAATCTGTACAACAAAGCCCAGCACTTATTAATCCCTGAAGCATGGAAACAAAGGAGGAAGGGGCTGTGTCCCCTGCATTAAACAAATAGATGTCTCTTTCCCGCAAGAGAAGCTCTTCATGGGGTTCCTCCACTTTTTGCTGCACGGAACCTCTCAAATGAACAATCTCCTTCATGTGAAAATTCCCCAGAGTGGCTACTGCAATTTCAAACGGTCTCTTAAATTGTGTCGGAGACATAAGATGACTTTACACGACAGTGAGGAAATCTGGAAGCAGCAGGTGTCTGGTTCAGGGAAGAGCCACTTCCGATGAAGAAGGTCCTGTGGGCACCCCAGCAGTCTGAGAAGAAACCTCGTGCCTCCCGGGCTTGCTCAGGGGCCACAGGCTGATTATGCCCAATCCTCCTGATTCCAGGCAGAGAGAACTTTAAAGCAAGCAGTTCTCAGGAACTACATGGAGACCAGGTTGAGGGGAAAACCTCCCTTAGATGTGGAACAGTGGCCTGGGGCAAAGTTCATTCCAATGAATGCTGGTCTGAGGGGGTCTCCTGACCACTGTGGCCTCCAAGACCAGCTTGATCACAGACTTCCTGGGACCCTGTCAACCACT